GTATATTCATTTACATATTTAGATATTGTTCTTTTTAAGTGCCGTACAGTCAGTTCCAAATAATAGTGATCCTGTATAGGTTTTCCAAGGAACCACTGGTGGGTTTGAACTCCTGACCTTATGGTTACCAGTGAAGCGCTTATCCTACAGTGCTACACCAGGATAGATACATGTGTATATATGTGTGTACATATGTATGTATGTATGTATGTATGTGTATATATAAACATGTTAATTTATAAAACCTCTCATTTAAAAAGCCCATCCAGATCATTAAAAGTTATATTGCCAATAAAACTTTATATTTTATAATGACTAATACATTTTTAAGTATATAGTCTTCAAATTTTATATACTGTTAATTATAATAAAATTTATTCTGGGGAAAAAAACAGTATCATCTTTAATTTTGTAATATAGACTGAACAAAAAATAAAATATTGTAAAGCATTTTTTAAAGAATTAAACAAGTCCTATTAACCTGAAATTATATGTGGGATAATAGAAGTAATGCAAATTCACAGAGGAAATAATGAACAATATAGAATTTCCAACTATTAAAAGAAAGCTTACTTAAATATTTTGTAGGAGGTGATTGCTGTTTGAAAAATCATTTTTCCATTTTAAGCATTTATAAGATATTGCAACCATCTTTTAAAAATATGTGGATTGTTTTAAATATTTTACTAATTATCTCCTATTCAATTATTCCACGCAGCATACTATTTTTTAGATGTAAGCTTTAATGTAAGAAAGGATTACATTCATACACATATGTATCTATATCTTAAGGGATACAAGGAAATTGTTGTTAAGTGCGGTCCAGTGGGTTCTGACCAATAACGAACCTGTATAGGATTTCCAAGGAGCAGCTGATGAGCTTGAACCACTGACCTTGCAGTTCAAACGGCTTTACGGTCTGGCACATTAACCCACAGAACCACACAAGGCAAACAGAGCACTGTTTTAAAGAAATTGTTTTGCGGTCAACAGAACTGTATTACTCTTGACCTCTACTCTACTTACATGTGATATCTGGAGCCCAAATTAGATATTACACATAACAGAATAAGTCACTTATTATCCATTTTTTTCCTCTTGGATATACAAGGTATTATTTTTCATTATAAAAAATAAACTATAAAATAATTACGAATTTAACTTTATCATAGTTCGTGGACATTGTAGCAATTGTGTTCCTCACTGAGTATCACTGAGACCTCAGAACTTGGGTTCTGTGGTCCTGCTGTTTAGTATCGTAGCAAGTGGACGCATGTGGCTAGCCAAATTGAGATGTGCTAGAAGTGTAACCCCTAGTGTGGTGCTGTAGAATAAGCACTGAATTGAGAACCTCAAGGTTGGTGGTTCATCCCCACCAGTGGCTCCTTAGAAACCCTGTACAGGTTCACTATAAGTCAGAATCATCTGAATGGCACTTCATACCAGAAGTGCAAAATATTGCCTAATGAAGCCTTAGTTTAAAAAAAGAGAGAGAAAATAACTCAGTAATATTTTAGGACATTTTATATATATATTGGTTTAAATAAAATATATTATTGAAGTTTACTTGTCTTTTTATTTTTATACTGTGGCTACAGTTGTTGTGAGGTTGGTGCAGGACCAGGAAGTATTTTGTTCTGTTGTGCATAAGGTCGCTATGAGTCAGTAGTGACTTAATAGCACTTAACATTGGTTAGTGCTGTTGAATCAGTTTCAACTCATAGCAACCTTGCATAGGGTTTCTGAGGTTGCAAATCTTAGCCAGAGCAGAAAACCTCAGCTTTCTCCCACTGAGTGGCTGGTGGGCTCAAACTGCTAACCTTGCGGTTCTTAGTCCTGCACTTATCCTACAGAGCCACTGCATTATTAGGGCATTTAAAATTACATATGTGGCTCATGTTTTATTTCTATTGGACACTGGAAGTCTAGAAGAAAAATCAGGAGACTTAGGTAGAATTCCAAGTCTTCTCTTCTTCCGTCTATTGAGTTACTTTCTATTCAGTTACAATTTCCTCCATAGAGCTTCTCTTCCTGAGGAGTGAAAAAGAACATGACTTCCTTTTTTCAGGTGAGATTCTCCCCCATACCTTGTAGACTTCAACAGGATAAAGCTATTAGATCAAATCTTTATCCATGAGATGCCCAAAAATCAGTAAAGGGAGAAAGTTGTTTCTTCACATTGCAGTTATTGGAGGGAGGCTGAGCTACTCTTGTCAGATCAGATCTTCATGAGTCAGAATGGACTTGAGGGCACTGACAACAACAATTAAAAATGAGGTTTCTGTGGGTTTTGATTAACTATTAACCTAAAGGTTTGTGATTCAAACCCACCCTAGTAGTGCAGCAGATAAAAATCTGGTGATCTGCTTCAAAAAAGATTATAGCCAAGAAATCCCTTTTGAGCGTCTTGGTCACACATGGGGTCACCATGAATCAGTCTCAGTGCAATGGGGGTTGGATTTGGGTCTTTCTTTGGGTGTTGAAGGTAACCACAGTAGGGGCATCCTGGAAAAGATGGGCACATTGAGGAGAAGCTGTGTTCTCTGAAGGTCTGTGACTGATCTGTCTTGTCTTTTCTTATTGTTTCAGAGCGCTGCGATGACTGGGGGCTGGATACCATGAGACAAATTCAAGTATTTGAAGATGAGCCAGCTCGCATCAAGTGCCCACTCTTTGAGCATTTCTTGAAATATAACTACAGCACGGCCCATTCAGCTGGACTCACCCTGATCTGGTATTGGACAGGACAGGATCGGGACCTTGAGGAACCCATAAACTTCCGCCTTCCGGAGAACCGCATTATTAAGGAGAAAGATGTGCTCTGGTTCCGCCCTACTCTTCTCAATGACACAGGCAACTACACCTGCATGTTAAGGTAGCCTGACTCTCAGCAATGACTCCATCTCTGCCCTGTCCTTCCAGGTCTTATAGACAGAGGATGCACATGCCTTGAATTTGGGGAGGGAAAGAGGAAGAAATTAGAAAGAGTGATACTTCACCTTAATAACTTTGATGAGGTGGCCTGAGGGAACTGTGCAGACAAATAAAGTTGCTGTCCCAAACACATTCTACAAAGCTGGTTTCCTTTCAGACACTGTCCTCTGTCCTGGTAGTATAAAGGCAGAGTCTTCTTTGTTTACACCCTTGCCCTGACATTGAAATGTGGCTACATGTCTGTTTTACCTGAAATATCTAATTCCCTATACAGTATACAAGGAGCTCTGGCAGCATAGTAGTTATGAATCGGCCTGTAAACCTCAGGGTCAGCAATTCGAAACTACCAGCTGTTCCATGGGAGAAAGATGAGGCTTTCTGCTCCCATAAAGATTTACAGCGTCAGAAACCCTGTACAGGGTCGTTATGAGTTCGAACCAACTCCATGGCACATAACAACAACAACAATACAGTATACAGGACAGGGACTGGATCCTATTCATACTAGTTATTCTTGGCATTTTGCAAAGTGCCTGCAATGAGTAGAGACCCGAGATGCCTTTATAGAATAAAGACTATTTACGAAAAAGCAAATTGATTTAGAATTGTCATACCAGGGTCCTAGGTTGCCAAAAAAAGACACAGACGTCACACATTCTCCTGTAGTGCATGGGTAAACAGTATATTCACTGAAAAGCATGGCAGTTACCATCCCTCACAGAGCACACTCCACTCAGCTGGGATCAATAATTAATTGCAATGGCCACACACAACTCGGCTGCCATCCTCACAGTTATGGGTTTATTACGGATATTTACAGGGTCAGTAATGCTCAGAACACTGTTCTTCCAGTCAGCACAGCCTCTTCTCTATCATGCCCACAAGCAGGCCTCTCTCTGGCCTGAGACCTCTTGGTCTGGCCACTACCCTGTTTGAAAAATATTACAAAGCTCTTTTAGAGCTGCTAATAAATACCCACAAGGCACACACCACTCCACCATGAGCTTTGGCATTGACAAAGGTAGCATTCCCAATTAGGTGCCTGGAAGCACCTCCCTCTGCAAACAAACCTCCTGCACAAAGTCACTCAGTTTTACTTGCTACATGCATTGGAAAGTCCACTGCTCTGTCTTGTGCTCTGACTCTTGGTTCTGCTGCTGTTTCTCCTCTGCCATTAGTCCTGTGTCACAGCTTTGTGTTCATGGGTAAAGGAAGTTCAGTGTGCAGGGATTTGGGTGTCCAAAAGACATGTTCAGTTCCTGGCTTTTATATGATATTAGTGAGCTTCCCTCTTCTGATTTTGAGGTGATTCATTTTATAGCCTTGTCAGAGTTCCAAGATGTTACAATTTCAATGAACTGTTGGCAGTCTTTCACAACTGAATCATATCATCCTATCAGTATCGTGTCTCACCTTCTGTTACCCATACCCAGCAGGAAAAGCGTCATTTGGTGGGAGTTACAAAGGCTGAGGCTAGAAAGCACAGAAAAGAATTCACTGCGTCACACTCACATAGAGTGGAGACAGTGAAGTCAGCTTCATAAGTGATCGCTGGTCTCCCATGGCTAGCAGGATTCTCCCCTCTTTCTGCATAACAATTGTGCAGATAAGAATGTGTCCCATGTATACCCACCCACGTCTTGTGGTCAAATGGAGAGACCTTGTTACCACACATGTACAAGAGACAGAGACAGTTACTGTATTTTCAGAACAGGAGAAGGTTTCTATGAGAAGGAGTGGGAGTAAGATGGGGAATGACCCAGTTCCCAGCCTCCTTTTTGGAGAATAATGTTCTGAGATAAAGGACTTTACTTTTAGTCAGACAGGGTTGGAGGTAGTCAGGCAGAAAGTTCTTATAACAAGAGCAATACTTTTCCACCAAAACTTCCCCTAAATAAAAAAAGCAAGCGAATGCCCTATCTCTGAGAATCTAAGAATATAACCCAAAGCAGCCCATTTTGTTTCTGAAAAATGTCTTTGAAGTCCACTTTTTCCCAGAAACCTCTGCTGATTTTGCATTTTGATCTACAATATATCTTTTATGAAAAACTATATATTAAAGTTTTTGCTGACAAAAAAAAATCCTAAAACTAACCCCCCACCCCCCAAAGAATAACCATTTTAAGGTGGGGTTTTTTTTTGTCCTGTTTTTTTACCCAGAGTCTCTCTAGCTATTAAGTTACTTTGGGTTCTGAACTCCCTTCTGGGTTATGACTTTGATTTTTCATATAGTTTATTAGTATTCTATAGGTAATCCCATTTGTTTGTTCCTTTTCTGTCATGGATATTAATTGTTTTCTGATGGGGAACTAAGATTATATTTTCATAAATTTGAGTTGTGTTCATAATATATGATAAAGGATCTCATCCCAATCATAGAAAGATGTTTGAATCACTGCACCCTGGGAGTCCATGTACCATTAAAAGTCCTTCTGAGATGTTCTTCTGCACTTTAATTCAATTGGAAGGAACTATAGAGTAATGCAGGCTTCTTATGATCTTGTGCCTTTATTTATGCCCAAATACAGTCTGGTAGGACAGATTAAAACTAGGTCATCATCCCAGTTCTGTTTAGCTAGATAACTTTAGTTAAGTCAGATCCACCTCTAAGAGCGTTGGTATCTATCCATACAATGGGAGATTTGGGTAATATGCTCTTTTAAGCTCCTTTGTATCTTTGACAATTGTTAACCGTTATCATTTCCCAAATGAACTTCTGCAAATACTTGGGAAATGGTCATCAGTGGCTTCTGAGGTGGCCATGGTCTCTACAGGAACAAGCGGTATAATTATTAAGGCCTCAGTATATCTTTAGCAATAGTTATCAGTGTCCAGATCGTTACCTCTTCGGTTTATCTATGTACCTAGCTTCCAGGTCCTTAAAGCAAAAGAAGAAGCTGCTCATTGTCCTTGAGTGATTCCTACACTAAAAATGATCTTAACCTGAACTTGTGGAATCATAGGCCTGGATGTCTTCAGGGAAAAGAGTTAGATTAATCTTCTAGTGTTTAACAGTTTGTATTTTTGTACCAATGCCCCTTCTAAGATAAGCAGAAAACATCTGTCCAACTATTATTCATCATTTTTAAAACTCAGAACATCTGTCTTTATATTAGGCTGAAATTTACTGTGTATAACTTCCATCTATAGAATCCTTCTACTTAGTAGATCTTTTGTTATTTATAAATTGAGATTATGCCTGCCATTTCCCCTTGTTGGAGTCCTGGTGTGGCACTGTGTGTTAATGCACCAGAATGCAAAGCCATTTGAACTGCAAGGCTTGAGGTTCAAGCTTACCAGTTGTTCCTCGCAAACCCTGTACAGGGTCACTATGGGTTGGAACCAACTCTACGGCACTGAACAACAACATTCCCCTTTGTCACTTTCCTACCATTCTTCCAAGTTATTTTTAGTTAGACACAACTCATTTTATGTTGTGGACTAGTTCCCCACTGCTTCCACTGTTTTTAGTCTTAATTCATGAGTTAATGAATATCTACTCTATGTTTGGCTGAAATCATAAATGACCCATTATTCCATCACTTTAGAATATCAGTTATTTTTATTATACTATTTATGTTCCATTTCTTATTATCTTATATGTAGACACAATTTTCATATTCATCTCATTCGTTTAATAAATAATTACTCAGTAACTCTTAAAAGCTACAGATAAGTATATACAAAAGGAATGAGAAAAGAAGAAAATTACACATAGGCTGGTCATTATGGAACTTGTATTTCACATAGGGTTTATATTAATAATACTTCTGGTGAGGCACTGTAGGATCAGCACTGTACAACATTGCTAGTTTAAATCTACCAGCTGCTCCTTCAGAAACCCTTTACTGGGTCACTGGGAGTTGGAACCAGCTCAATGGCACATAACAACAACAACAAAAATTTAATAAATCATAATATAAATATATAACTTTAAACTATGATATAATCCATATATATATATTCCATATCTATATATATTCCATTTCCATATATATATTCCATATTCATATATATGTTCCATATATATATTCACATATATATATGTGTGTGTATATACATAGAGAGAAGTGTATATTAAGTAATAGCTCACGCAGTTGTAGAGATGGACAGGTTCCAAGTCCATAGGTCAGATGTCAGACTGAAGGTTTCTGACTCATGTAGCTGCAGGGCTGGTGAACCACAATCTACAGGTCAGATAGCAGGCAGGTCCCACAAATATGAAGGCTGATGACTCCAGGATCATCACTGGCTCAAATCCAAAGAATCAGAGGTTGGAGACGATCCAGATGCAGAATCCAGACCCAACAGACAGCGAACAAGCTTTGCCTGAATGCCCCAATATATTGGAAGCAGACCACATTCTTGAGGAAGTTTTTTTTCATTGATTTGCTTCTCATAGCACATCTTATCATGGGAATTACTGTATCTTAACTGCCAAGCCACTGAGAATCCTGGCTCAGTCAAGTCGACAGGAACAACGTTCACAACTTCTGTATGAAAAGGGTGATGGTGAGGAAAAAAGAACTCTCAAGGCAGAAGGAACAGCCTGAGCAAACACAGCATAAATACAAGTCATGGCTACATCTGCTTGTTTGCTTTTGATGCTGGATTTTTTTTAATAGGTGCTTGTAATTTTGAATGATTGTATCATGATTTTTATTATAGTTTTCCATTGAGTAGACTTTTGAATTGTTTCTAATCTTTGCCTTGCTGAAACAATATTGTGATGGATACTTTAAATACTATCTTCCCATTCCCCCTTTCTCTGTTTCCAGAATTTGGAAAAAAAAAAAATCCAAAAATGGAATTACTAGGTCAAATATCTAAAGTGTTTTTTTCTTTATAAATCTGCCATTCTCATCATAGCTTTGCCAACACTGAGTGTTACTAAGAATATTTTTAGTGTAATATGACATATATACTTTTGAGAACATATATTAAAATATTTGTCTTCTAGTACACTAATAATAGGAGTCCCGGTATGGTGCTGTGGGTTAATACGCCAGACTGTAAAGCCATTTGAACTGCAAGGTCGGCACGTCAAACTCACCAGCTACTCCTTGGAAACCCTATACAGGATCGCTATGGGTCAGAATTGACTTGATGGCACTTAACAAAACCACCACCACTAATAATAACTGTGTCTTTTTAAATTCTGTGATATCAGTTGTATATAGGAAATGCACTCATCATTTCATTCTTATATGAATTTATACTATAAATGAATTCTGATTACGTAACATGACTTCACTTAAATTGTTTTAATGTGGTTGCTGTGTTCAACCCAGTTCAAATAGGAATTCCCATTCATTTGAATATTTCTCTTTTTAGGAATACTACTTATTGCAGCAAAGTTGCATTTCCCCTGGAAGTTGTTCAAAAGGACAGATGCTTCAGATCCCCCATGAAACTCCCAATATATAGACTGTATCTAGAACATATGCTTCAGAAGATCACTTGCCCAAATATAGATGGATTTTTTACTTCCAGTGTCAAACCAACCATAACTTGGTATAAGGTAAGCAAACCAAAGGACATCTTACCCTCTTTAAAATGGAGTAATTATTTGTTGAGTTAAATATAGAAACAGATTTTTCTCCTCAATTTTTCTGACTTCTTCCTTAATGACTTCATACTAATCTGTTCCCACTTGATGAATTTGTACCACTTTAAAAGAGAGTGATGGATGCTTTTCCTCAACCTGACATTTGAAAAATTACTTTCCCTGCAGTACCAGAACTACCTGCTTCTAGTAACTTCCTATGAAACACATTTTGAGAACTGTCACATGCTTCTTACTGCTCAGTAAACTGAAAAGCTGCTAATTCCTATGGTGAATTTCGACTCTGATTAGTCATTAATGTATTTTGTTTGTTATGTGTGATTTCAGTAGTTCATCTGTAGTCTCTTCCATATCTGGAGGATTTTACAAGTGTTAATTAAAAATCAATTTGTTGGAAGTTGTTCTTATGGCAACAGCAAAATCCCATGGACAACACTTAGCAAACAAACTCTGTGACAAGTTGTCCAGAAGAACAATTTTCAGTAAAGGGGAAGAGACAAACTGACAGCCTTAAAATACATATGTATCAGTGTTTATAAGGAGACTTGGTGTAGTGGGTAAACATTGGCTGCTAACTAAAATGTTGGTGGATGGAACTCACCAGGAATTCTGTAGGTGAAAGATGTGACAGTTGGCTTCTGTAAAGATTGACAGTCTTGGAAACTATATGAGTCAAGTCTTCTCTATTCTATAGGGTCTCTCTGAGTTGGGCTCAACTTTACAGCAATAGGCTTTTTAATCACTGTCTTTGGAGAAGAGAAAAGAAGGAAGCAATGGATTTTCTGCAGACTTTGAGAACAGGAGAAGCCCAAAATAGCCAAGAGGTAGCAGTCAGTGAAAACTGGTGGTCCAGCTTGAGAACAGCTGCTGAAATTGAGAAGGGTTTTGCTCTCTAAGGGAGGTGAATGATACGAATTATAAAGTGGTTGCCACCATTCTAGTACACAAGAGTGCTGAAAAAACAACCAGCCATATTGAGGAGAAACTGCAGGGAGTTGAATAAAAATTAGGTAGGATAAAGGCAATATATGGATTGGAAGAGAAAAAGAGAAAAATGAATTACAATCAGACGGTAGGAAAACAGTAAGAAAATCTCACGGTTTGAAGTGGGAACACTCTGAAATAAGAATATCCTGCCACATTTTAAAGTTTGGGGGCAGTAGGGGGCGAGGAGATGCCTACAAATGTGAGTAACAAAAATATCAATGTAAAAGTTGTAAGAAAAGTTATATTTAGAATTATAAGACAGCATACAGAGAAGAATCATTTCAGAAAAAGAAAGTATGCCTAAAGGATTAAAAAATGAGATAAGAGGCACTAAGAAAATGATACAAGATGTGTTGGAATTATATGAATAAATATGAATCAGAAAAGCTCCGAAGTTACCATCTGAAATTCGAAAGAATACCACATTCTCAAATGAAGTAAACTAATTAATTCTCTCGACATCCTTATGAGGTAGACTCTCTCTTATTTTTCTCATTGTACAGTTGAGGAAACTTTCATATAAAGTGGTTCCGTGATTTGTCCAAGGTCACGGAGATAGAACTCACATTAAATCCTGTGCATTCGTGATCAAAACACCACACTTTTATATGATGTTATATAACTTACTCAAAATAATCATGGGAAAATCAGGGATCTCAGTTTGATTATGTATAATTTCAGTACTTAAACTTTCTGCAAAGTATACAGAAAAAGGTATTTGGTTTTTTACTTTTGAAGCTCAAAATCCTTTAAAAGGCGGGACAAACTGTGAACCCAGATTGTTATGAGTGAAATTGTGGGACTTAAAGAAAGTTGAAAGTAGAGGACCCTGAGAAATCAGAAAATATTCAGAAAAAAACAAACAAAAAAAAACCCGAAGAATAGGGGAAACAAAAGACCAAATGTCCTATATCAGAATTGCAGAAATAAACAGGGAGGAATGGGTTTTCTTCTCTGCATGTTTCTCTTTTCCTTTCCTCTCTTCTGCATGGCAGGAATTCTTTCATCCAGCACTCAGAATTCACAGTTCTCTATTTCAGCAGTCTTGTGAGTTAAATTGATGGTTAGTAAAACTTTGTTGAATAACTAGCCTAGAAAGCAAACTGTGGTATGTAAGCGATTTGCTGTATGGAACATTGCTGCTGTTGTTAAGTGCCCTCGAGTCAGTTCCGACTCATAGCTACCCTAAATCAGAGACTACCTGTTTATTCACATAGCAGTAAATATAAATCAGGAAAACCACAGGGAAATGTGGTCCTCATATTCTTGTTAGATTCTTTCTCAGGCTTGAACTTTAAAATATGGAACACCATCCTAATTTTCAGATTAGACAATTAATTGTATTTATCATGGTTATAAGTGGATATTTGAAATTTTATTTTGTAAGCATATTTTGTAAAGCAATTTTCCCTGTTTCATTGAAAATCATGGAAACCACTCTAATGGGTGTTTTGGATGTCACATTTATGGCACTTGCTGAAATGAGCTCAGCTGCCATTTAGCAGAGAAGTAGAAACCCCATGACTATCAATTTGCAAAACTCTGGCTGCCCATCTACCTAGTGTGACCATTAAAATGAGATATTACCTCTTCTAATTTTTGTTGTTGTTAAGTGCCATCGAGTCAGTACCGACTCATAGTGACCCTTTGCACAACAGAACAAAACACTGCTGATCCTGGGACAACCTCACTATTGTTGCCACGCTTGAGTCCATCGATGCTGCCACTCAGCCAATTCATCTCGTTGGGGGTCTTCCTCTTTTTCTCTGACCCTCCACCTTACCAAAAATTATATCCTTCTCCAGTGGCTGGTACCTCCTGACTATATGTCCGAAGTATGAGAGACGAAGTTTGGCCAGCCTGGGCTCCAAGGAGCACTCTGGCTGCGCTTCTTCCAACACAGATCTGTTTGTTCTTTTGGCAGTCCATGACACTTTTAGTATTCTCCTCCAACACCATAGCTCAAATGTATCAATTCTTCAATGCTCTTCCTTATTCACAGTCCAGCTTTTGCATGCATATGAGGTTATTGGACATACCATGGCTTGGGTCAGGCACACCTTAGTCCTCAAGCTGACATCTTTGCTCTTCAACACTTTAAAAAGGTCTTGTGCAGCAGATTGGCCAATGCAATACATCATTTGATTTCTTTTTAGCATGGCATTAATCAGAATTGGTCAGATATCATTTAAAAATCTTTCTGAAAAACAGGAAAATCTTCTCTTTTTTGTCAAAGTGCCGGTAGCGAAGTAACTTTCTGAAAAAGTGCCATCCTTGGCCATCTTTGTTGGCATAGCATACACAATGGGCAAGTTAATCCAACGCCTATATAATAGACTATTCTTAAGGTGCTTCTTTCAGTTTGATCTGACAACTTAATTAAGTTGTTTCCTTGTCTCTCTTTTTCCCCTACACTCTTTGTGCAGTGGTTTTTAACCTTTGGTGTGAGGGAAGTATGTACTGTGTTTCCTTTCAGAATTGTACACATATATGAATAATTGATGGTAAGTCAAAATATATTGCTGCTCTTCATATGTGCACAGATTTATTCCAAACAAAATGTGCTTAAACATGTCTCTGGGATCAGCAGGTGACTGCAGACAAGTTCTCTCAGTAATGCACTTGCCTTAGTCTCCTTTCATTGTTGTTGTTAAATGCCGTGGAGTCCAATCTGACTCATAGCGACTCTGTGTAGGGATTCTGAGAAGCCACTGGTGAGTTTGAACCATTGACCTTGCAGTCCAAACCAGCCTTTTCATTCAGTGCTTATCTTATATTGCCATGCCAGGACTCCTGAGCCTACTTGTTGTCGTTAAGTGCTGTCAAGTGGGTTCCAACTCATAGCGACCATGTGTCATGTGTAGGGTTTTCCTAGGAGCAACTGCTGGGTTTGAAACGCTGACCTTGTGGTTCAAACTGACTTTGTAGTCTAGTGCATTAGGCTCTCATCAAAACAATAACCCCCCCTAGGCCAGTTCAATTTAAGGCAGAGAAGTCAGCTTAGAAGGTTATGACACCTGTTTTTGGGATACCAAAGGGTGGTGTTGATAAATTTTCTCAAAGGACTATCACAAAGACTTGTTATAAATAAGTTTTCAGAAAATTGAAAACTGTATTGTTAAGAAAATATCCAGGAAAGTTGCACCACAGAATTTTTTTTTTTTTTTCCATCACAGAATTGTACCTGCTTATTCTTCCAGGACAATAAGCTTGTCCTGCAAGAATGTTACTGATCTTGCCACTTCAGACTTCTATTTTTTTTGTCCCCAATACTGAAAGAACATTTTAAAGAAAAAAATATCTGAGTCCTTTTGAAGATGCCAATACTGCCATTTTGATGTGGTGTAAATCAAAGAGTACAGAATATTTCAGGGAAGGGTTACACCACCTTCAGAAGTGTATAGGCCTAGATAGAGGAGATGTAAGGAAACAAATGCTTCACATTTCAATGTGTTTGTTTAATAAAGATTCCTATGATATTGTAGCAATACTTTTTTACTTACCCTTGCACACATAGTGTTTTGAATGCAGTGCTCAGGACTATTGAAGGGCAAGTTGTATTTTTATAAATGTATTGCCCCACTCAAATACCATATTTCCTTTCAGAATCATGTACGTAAAATTCCATGTATGAATACATACAAGCTAAAAGACTGAATCCGACTAAAGAAATTACTTGCTCTGTGCTTTGATAAGGATCTTTGGTGGTATAGTGGATAAGCACATGGCTGCTAACCTTAAGGTCAGTAGTTCGAACCCACTAGCTGCTCCATAGTAGAAGAACGATGTGGCAGTCTGCTTTGGTAAATCGTTGCAGCCTTAGAAACCCTATGGAGCAGTTCGACTCTGTCCTATTTGGAAATTGACTCAGTGGGATTGGGTTTTAGTACCTTGTGAGTAATTTATTCTTAATTCACATTTGTTGCCATGTTGTTGTTGTTGTTGTTAAGTGCCGTCGAGTGAATGCC